GCGACGCTGAATTCCACATAAGATGGAAAAAGAATAAACATTCTACGGCTTCAACATTTTAAGTTTTAAGGGTTTAAGGTTGTACTTGTAAGTTTTAAATTTTTAAGGATGTTAAAATTTACAGATTGTATGATGCCAAGATCTTAAATTTCGACTATGTTTAGTCTCTGCAGGTTTATAGCTTTTTAAATTGTAAAAAAATAAGTTTTTACATTTAAAGTCTGAGAATAATAGAATTATAAAATTTTACAATTTTTAGAAAAATGGAATATTTTAATTGTAAAATCTTTAAATGCTTAAATTTCGCTTTTCTTCCAAAAACCACAAACTAATACAATCTTAAAACCTTTTTAAGATTGTATTAGTTTACGGTTTTGCGAGGTTAAACGCTTAAGATTCTAAAATTTGCGATTTAATTATTTTACGATTGAAATATTTTAAATTTGTAATTTTATGGCTCCATTATTCTCAGATTTTAAGATTTTGAGATTTTATTAAGAAAGCCTAGCATCCCCAGCATCCCCAGCATTATCTGCATCATCTGCATCACCGGCACGGGCCTGCAGAACCACAAGCCCAAACCTGAAGATTAAAAGCCGGCTTAAAACGTGCCACAAAACGCGCCCCCAGAAGCAGCGCAAAAATCCATGGAATTCTCGCCGAAACACGCCCGCCGATTTTTCGCCCCTTAGTAGGGCGGGCGCAGCGCAAAATGCTTATCACTTTCCTTTTCACGGACCCCCGGCCGTATCGTCGGCATACACAAGTTCGGCGGCAGAGGGCGGCAGCCCCATAGAGCTTCGTTCTAGAGCCTTGCTCCAAAGGGATAAGGGGGAGGATCTGACACAGCCGTTCGGCCAATTGGCCGTGGCCGGATTTACACACTGACGCGATATAGGGCACCCCTTCCCGTTCTTTGATTTCCTTTCCCTCTAAGTCTTATTAGTTTTCGGGATGATTTGAATTTTATTTCCTTTATATGTCTTCCCTAACAATTTCCTGGCATATCCTTTTATTTCCTTCCATTTCATTGCCGTTTTGACGACGACCATGATGATAATGGCACGGGCATGGTGATCGTTATTATCCACGTTATGATAATTATTATTATAATATCTTTTATATCGTTACTTGTTTTTTGATAACTATTATTTATCGTATTTTTTGTATTGCTAAGAATATCTAACGTCTTTTTTGATTTTTATATATAATGAGACATTAGATGATGCTAGGTAATGATTAAATAATGATAAAGATGATAATGATAAAGATTGTAATATCTTTGGCATTACCAACGGTTGTTATAATAATTATCGTCGTAACATCCTCTGTATCACTAATGTTACGTGATAAAAGATGACGATCACCATGATGACAACGGTACGGGCGTGATAATCGTTAGCATCCGCATTATGATAATTATCATTACAATATCCTCTATGTTTTTACTGGATCTTAAATACCTATCATTATCGTATCCTTTACATTGCTAAGGATGTTTAGTATCCCTTTTGATTTTTACATATATTAAGAAATTTGATTATGCTAGGTGATAATTAGATGATGAGAAATATAATGACAAGGATGATAATTATTATCGTAGCATCTTTAGCGGTCTTAACGATTGTTATGATAACGATTATCGCAACATCCTTTGCATCACCAATGCGACGTGAGAAGAGATAACGATGATTATAATGATAATAGTACGGGCGTGATGATTATTCTTATCCACATTATAACACCTATTATCATAATATCCTCTACATTTCTATTGGTTCCTGGATAACTATTATTATCGTACCTTTTGTATTGCTAAGGATATCTAACGTCCTTTTTGATTTTTAAATTTAATAAGATATTAGATGATGCTAGACGATGATTAGATGATGATAAAGATGATGACAAGGATGATATTTTTTTCTTGTAGAATCCTTGGCATTATTAACGGCTATTATAATAATTATTATCATAATATCCTCTGCATCACCAATGCTGCCTGATAAGAGATAACGACGATAATAATGATAATAATGATAAGGATAAGAGAGAAAGAGATGATGATAAGGATGATGATGATGATGATGATGACGGTGACGGTGATTGTGATGAGAACAATCATCGTAATTGTTGAGGATGAAATATTGGCTATATTTATGCGCTAACCACGCTTCCCGTATGCCTCCCCTTTTTAGAGAAAGGATCGGCGGATTTAGAATTATCGAGGTTTAATTAACCTAATAATATATTTATTTTATATAAACCTCAAATCGAACTAACACAACGACCATTTAAAGCCATAATACTATAACCAAATCCCATATATTTAAGAAATTTAAAGAATATAATTATTATTAAAAATCAAAATACTTGATTAATGTGGCAAGCTGAAAGCAAAGCTAATACTACGAAATTATGATTTATTAGATTACAATTACATACCTCTAAATCGGCATCTATATTGATTAAACAATATTGTGTTCCATTCTCATTACGATATGCCGACGATATTGTAATTGCTTAGAATATATTTAATAATTTAGGATATTTCTATATATTCCAGCAGAATCGGAGAAATTAATGATGGAAATTTCAATAAATATACAAGGATATAGGTTATTTTTTTATTGTAATGTTTTAATTTGTTCCTGGAATCCATAGATAGCAACGATTGTATTAAGCATTATCGCTTTTGGCGTCGATAGGTATATATTTGACGTGAAAGAAATTTTAATTTGTAATGGAATCGAATGTTATTATATAGGTGGTGGTGGTGTTAAGAATATATCTTGTCACGAACGTCCTGATTTTAAGATATTCGATATTCTTTGTGGCAAACACAATTTGGTCCATGGAAAACAGATAAATAAGCCACTTCCCCTATTCTATTAATAATAGATACCAATCCGGAGCCCAAGACGAAACTTCCATTCCGTATAATTGATTTTCTATTGCGCTAAAATTAAACCAATACTAAAATTTTGGAATCCTTATTAGGGATTACTTTTAGCAAGTTTCCAGTCTCACTTTTCAAAAGGTAGGTTCCTCAATTCTCCAAAAGGTTGCTTCCCCAAAAACTGTCTGCATTTCTGCCTAATTATGCCTTGTTGGCTGACTGCTGGCTGCTTTCCTATTATTCAATACATGTCTAGCTATCTTGAAACCCACATTACTTTCTCGAACACTAGATTATCTATCAATCAATCATAAACAACTAGTAAATTGAAAAACAAATAGAATAATATATCAAATATCCTTATTAAACCATTTATTCGCGGACCTTACAATTCAATCTATTTCCTCCAAATCCTATATAAACCCTCACATTGTTGGGAAATATAACAAAAAACAAATTCCGAAAACCCCAATTTAAAAAAAAATAAAATATTTTTAGAAGGATTTATTTATAATAGGAGGAAAGAAATCCGTATTTATTAATAGGGGGAAAAGATTATTGAATCGATTTGGTTATAGCCGCATTCAACCCGAATTTGTTTCCGATCTTGGCGACAAACCGAACCCAATGGAGGCCTTATGTTCCAGACCTTTAACTTTGGTTTTTAGCAGCAAGGCGAGCGATTAGCGCCAACAATTTGTGGTCCAATTCACGACATTCCTTGCGAATTGAATCAAAATGGATGTTAAAAATACATTTACATATAATAAGATTACAGCCAGAACGGATAATATTGTATTAGCTACAAGCTAGAAGAAGATATTTATTATTGTTTCCGATTTGCCTATTAAAACGAATATCCAAGAATTAAATTAGTTATTATTATATATTCCCATAAAATCCCGAAATGTTCTTATACAAATTCATCTTTAATAATACAAATAAATTTTTTTATTACAAATCCTACTATCAAAAAAAATAAAGTTGTAAGTGTAAATTGAATTATATATCATTTTCTGTTTATCCATATCAAATTTTGATTAAGCTAAAACCGAAAAAAACACCCCCAACTAGAGATATTCCTTTTAATATATAATATTTATTAAATTTTATATAAATCTTAATATTATATATCATATTTCTTTTCAAATTCTTATTTATGTTAAATTAATTTATTATTAACATTATCCCATATTTTTTAAATATATTAATATTATTATAAATATAAATATAATAATTATATTAACATAATATATTAAAGATTTTTAATATATACAAAAAAAATATATTCCATAAATTCAATTAATAATTATTATAATTAACATATTATATATAAAAATACTAACAAATTATATATTATCTCTATTTATATAAAATAAATTAAATATTAATACACACCATTTTATATATAATAATCAAATATTATATATATATAATAAATTTATTTTATTATTTAAATAAAAATTAATATAATTTAAATAATCAATATATATATATATATATATTAAATAATCTTATTTATATAATATATTAAATCAATATACTAAAATTATAGTTATATATATATAACCTAATTTAATTCCTAAATTATATCAATTAATTTAAAAATCCGAATATATTTTTATTATATAGTTCTAATAATTCACTCAATTCCAACTCGTCGCCATTATCCATTCCGAATATCCATCATTCCTCTATCTCGAATAATATCCCAAATAATATATATATATATAGTCCTTTCTTCCCGCTCGAAATTCCGCAAAAAAAGAGCATCAAGTAAAGATATCCTTGTCAAACAAATGCAATATTATTTGCTCAATAACGGAATTGATTTCCAAAATATCCATAACACCAAGACTCAAAACAAAAACAATTTACGGGAATATTGGACCATACTTCAACAAATCGTCCTCCCAACTAAATCAGAATGCTACCTGTTTGCTTGGGCATTGTCCAAGTGAAGAGATCCTTATACTCGGCTTGTCAAACAAGCGCAACCCTTGCAAACGTAGAATAAACGTAGAATACAAGTTGAAGCAAAAACACTTCTTCTTTTTCTTCTCGCATTGTGGGAGAGGCGGGGCATTAACATGGATTTTGTGTCTCAGCCACATACAGGCCCAAGCGTCGATGGCGGCCCGCACAGCTTTGGATTGCTACCACCCGCATTTGAAGGTCTGCAATTGCTGACGATCGTGCTTGGAGGCGGCCCCTTCTTTGGAGCCACTGTGGCGAGGGGCGGCCCCGGCACCGGCTCGAGCGCCTCCGGTGCTGGCGGTGCAGGTCTAAACCACGACATCATCTGACTGGCGAAGCTCTGTGGCTCCGGGACAGGCAGCGGAATGGGCTGCGGCTGCGGTGGCTGCGGCTGCGGCCTGTCTTCTCGCGCCGGCCCCATGGGGTCGTGGCGCAGCGGGGGGCCCGGCAGCAGCTTCTCGGGGTGCTGGTAGCCCCGGCCTGTGCTGCGCGCCAAGCCACAGCGGCCGCAGAAGTTGGCGTCTGGGGATAAAACGGCGTCACAGCGATGGCAGGACCGTCGCATCTCCGGCTGGGCGCCGGCGCTGGGCACATCTGTGAATGGCGGCGGCACTTGTCCTCTGAGCAAGCAACGGACATTGGCCAACCAATTGAGGTTACCGCAAGAGGTGGCCATCGTTAATGTGCACACAGTTGATAAAGTATGTTTTGCCATGGAAGTTTGCTGAGGGCTTTGCAGCTCGGATACCTATTGAAGCCTCCGTCATGTTGTTTTGCCGTTTGGAGGGGCACAGGTTGTCCAACTCTGTCCTTGCGCAACACGAGGATCAAAGTCTGGATGCCGCCACCTGAGCCCGGTGAGTTGCAACCACCGCATATGCTAGCCTTGTGTGGTTGGAGCTTTCATAGGGTGGCCCAAATTTGGCTGGACCCATTCTTGGTTGCTCTGCACGTGGAAACCAACAAGTTCACAATTTGTTGCGAGTGCCTTATTTGCGGAAACAATCCACAGCGATAGCCATCGTCGAGGCCCGTGCTTCTAGCAAGTACGCTACTGGGCCCCCTGCTCCTCGAAGGGATCAAACGCAGCCTGAAGCAAGCCGGGGACTTGAATGCTGCATGGCGAACTAGCTTCGTGTAGGCCATTCATAAGATCCGTCTGTTGCCTGCACCGCATCACCCGTTTGTTTCCTCCCAAGCTCCAAGCGGGTGCGTAGAAGCCTCGGAAGGCAGCCGTGGAACACAGTTGTGACACCCTCTCGACAAATGCTGTATGATGTAAGCTTGGGTGAGGAGGCGTAAGCATCCGACGCGAGGCACCCTTGCGCCACCGTGCGAAGGGATCCTGCCACAAGCTGCCAGCGCAAGGTGAAGAAAGCTTCAAACCAAAATGCCCCAATGCAAAGCAGCATGCGCTCTTTCACCATCTGCGCATTATCGCGTACAAGCGAGCTACACTGCGGGTGCCGCTTCAGCGGGCCTCGCCCGGCCGGAGGCTGGCGGCTCAGCGTCCCTCCCGGAAGCTACACTCGAAGTTCGTCACCTGCTCGGTGAACTGCCCGTCTTTGGTCTTGAGACCTTGCCAGGGTCAATCGAGCATGAGCGCTGAAACTGTCGCTGGCCCGGCTCGCTCGCCCATCTGCGGCTCCGGACCCCGCATCACCAGGTACTCCCGGGCTTTGCGCTTTTGGGCCTGCGTGGGCCGGAGGGTTCCAGCCAAACCCCACACAAGCCAAGCAACAACAGTGAGAAACCCAGGCGCCCGGTCCGGGCCCCAAACCTTAACTACGGCAGAAACGCGTGAACGAGAACAGCCGAGTCCCCACTTCAGCCATTGTTTTGGGAAAAGCTTTGTTTGGCGCTGCCTCACCCTTCCCATGTCAGTATTGGGCAAATCCGTTGTTGATTTTTCCTCATCAAGTTCGGCTGGGGCATATCCAAGTACCACTTAACGTGCAAAGCATCATGTACTGCATGGGCTCATCTCCTCGTTGAACGCATGCAATAATCATGAACGAAGCCAGTCAAACCTTCGAACCCCCGCCTCCGCCTGCTTCTGCTTCAGTTCTCGTTTTCGCTTCTTCCGCAGTGCCGAAGAGTCCAGAGAGCCTCATAAGCTCTTGCTCAGGCGAGCTTCAGTCGTCAAGATCAGCCAAACCAAGATGTATCTCAACTCCATGAAAATGGATGATAGACAATGCAAATTGCACATCCTGGGAGTCATGTCGATGGCGCTGGTGGTTTCCGTTTGAGCAAGCGGACGTGACCGCAAACAACACCGTTGCAACTTGCTGCACACGAGGGGCTTGAAGATGAAGAAGACGAAGAGGAAGATGACTTCCTTGGCTACATGCTATCACAGCTGCGCGCCCAACTGCTTCCTCTCAAATGCAAGCAGAAGGGTCTTTTTCTTCTTCTTTTTCTTCTTGTCCTTTTGCTTTTCCTTTTTCTTCTTCTGGGCGAGTCAGGAAGCAGCGCTCTCTGACGCAGACCCCACCATGGGCACTCTGCAGGCCTTGACTTTGTCATCTTTCCCTGCAGCGAACCCTGGCTTCTGCGCCCCGAGGACCCGTTGTCAATGTTTGGCTCAGACCTCCCACCCATAATATGTTTCTTTATTGCAGGATGATGTCGATTTGTAGACCGCCTGCCTTTTTTGTCTTTTAATTTCTTCTTCGCCTTTTCTTTGTCCTTCTTCGATGCATCCTGCACTGGGCACGGAACATGGAATCTTCAGCACTCCAGCGACACCATGCACGGGTGACCACTCATAGACAGTAGAGAATAGAAGACTGCGAATAAGCGGGACATCCCCAGCATGGAGCCGTGAGGATAACGGTGAGCAAAACAGGCAATATGCTTGCAGTGGCTGCGTGCAGTCACATCCAGCATACGCCTCCTCCGCATCCTTCATCTTCTCGGCGGCATCCGACATGGCTCGGACAGGGTGGTCTCATAGGAAATTCACGGTCGCTATGGTCAGGGGGTGTTCGGGTTCACCTGAAGGACTGTTTGTCATTTCCTAGGCAAGATGCGACAGATCTGGCTACCAGGCTTTCATTTGTTTGGCACATGTGACTTCTATGTGCGTCCGCTTGAGCTGTTCTTTCGCAACTTCATGTCCAATAAGTCGCGAAGAGTGAACGTTGAATTGTAAGCTGGTGAACATAACCCTCGCTAATGTACGGCATTCTCCAAAGCTTGCAGCCCGTGCAGCTCGACTGCGTCATGCCATGTGGATATAAGCATGCCCCACAAAGGCTGCCCCTCAGGCGTACTACTTGGAGACATGGTAAGTTGCTGCCACCATGTTGCTCCTTTCATTCACACCGTCACACAATGTCCATGCTGCCGGCTGGAGGTAGCATTTTGACTTGCCACACCGGCCGCTGCATCCGTGCTAACCCACCCCCCGCTCCGCCTTCCGGCTAAGGTGCTCCGGCCATGCTTGCCCTCGTGCTCCTCCATCCTGGCGATCCCTGCTTGCAACTCCTCTCAGAGCCTGGCAATTGATTGTACTACCTTTCCTTTTGCAGGCGTCACCCTAGTCATGCACCAAATTCAAGCAAACCCCGAGTGCCTCGTCCATGACCCCTGGTCCCTTTGGCAATATCTCCACTATGCGCACTGTCACCTGCATCTGCACAAGGGGCACCTGCGACCTCCATGAAGCCTTTGCATCCAGGTGCCCCCAGACTTGACATCTAGGTTGTCGGCTTTGCAAAGCAAGGGTAATTATTGCTCCATTGGGAGTCAATTCGCAGCACCTTGGGTTCAAAACAGCTATGGCCTCAAGACTCGACCTTTGGCCGTGCTGAATCCGATTTCCCCTGCTTCTTCCGCCTGCCTCCAGAGGGAAGGCTGGCAGTGGCACCTACCGAAGCGGCTTTGCAAAACGATTGCCACGAGGGTGGATCGGGTTTGGTTCTGGGGAATCTGCAAAAGACTCCACATTGTTCGAGGTGAGAGTACCATCTATGTGGCTCCCTGGTATGCTGCGCTAGCTACGGTCAATATATTTATGCTGTTCTCATAGTGGGCACAAGACCGTTTGCGACTGTTGTTTGTGGGAATTCAGTGAATCCTCCAGTGTCCCTCTCAAATTGACAACAGACTGCTGCATACTTTAACCAAAGCTCACGTGGCAATATGCGGTCCAGCTTCACAGACGTGCTGTCGCAAACATGAGACCCCGTTCCCTTTGAAAGCCAAGAGTTTTGGGACCGGTACTATGTGTTTGCCATGAGGGTCGGGTGGTGCAAAAGACTCTGCATGTCCGGTGTTTCGCTGCTGCTGTGCAAGACCTGCATTTTGCCGTAGCCTGGTTGTGTGCATCCTGCCAGTATGTGTTGCATGATTTGCTGTGGCTGCGCCTTCAGCTGGGGTTTGGCAGTTTGGGCTTGCCTTTGTGTTGAGCTACAAGGGCTCTCGGGTGCTGGGGCAAATGATAGTTTGGATCTGCCAATTTATGTGCTTGCGCTCCTTTGATCCCCCATATGCATCAGTTGGGCTGCTCAAAGCATCCCAAGCATGGAGGCTTTAGAATTCTGTTATTTCTGCTGGTGTTTGGTTGTTTTGGGTTGTTGGTGTGGTTTGAGGTGAGGGCATGTGTTGTTGTGCCTGTTTTCGTGATTGTCAGTCGATGTTCTTAACAACATCGACTTAGCAGGAAGAGTAGTTGTTGGAGCTTCAGCTCAACATGATCTTGTTTCTGGCCCGTAGCAATGTACTTCTTAAGCTTCTGCTTTCCCTGCGTTTCCTTAATTGTCGCTCTGATGCGTCAGCTGCAGTGGCCAGCTTACTACCTCACCAGATCTGGCCGCTGTTGATTTCCCATTTGACTGCAGTGCGAGTGCCAACCAAGCACATTAAACATATTCAGGCGTATGCGGTAGCCAGCCTTCAGCGACGGTGCTTGGAAATCAACCTCTGCATCCTGCAAGGCGTGCTGGCTGGACATGCACAAGACGACTCTTTGGGGTGACTCCAATCTTTTGAACACTACTGGGCAAGTAGCGCCAATACAAGGTGTCAAGCAGGTACGGTCCGGCGCATCTGCCATGGGTCGGAGAGGCTTTGCTCACCGCTTCTGAAGCTCTGCTTAACTTTTGCTTGCACCCGCTCTGCTGGCCAGGAACATTGACAGCTAGCGTGTTGCAGCTCCAATCATATTTGCCGCTCATCAACATCTGACGGTATCTGCATCATACTGTTCAGTTCTGCTTGGATCCTGTCATCCAAATGAGGGGCCCGTCTAGTCAGAAGCCGAACTTGTCCTATGTGATCTGCCATAGACTTCGCTGGCATTTCTCATCCTCTTCATGCGGGCTCGTGGCTTTCGTTTCGTGGCCTCGATAACATATTGGCAGTGCGTCAAACTTGTGGGAACCGGGAGCCAAAAAACCCGACCGTGCCGGAAGTTCCTTACTTTAGACTTGGGCTGAAGTCTGCGACCCCTTCATGCCGTTCTGCTAATGGGCAATCTGGATTGTTAAGTCCTGACCGATCAAGTTGGGGTGTCTCCTTTCTGTTGGTGGCTCTCGATGACTCACGAAGTGGATTGATCTGGGGTTTTAATTAGCTGAGAAGCATTCAGGCTGAGCACTTCGAATCCTCAGTTTATGAGAACTTCCTTCAATGCCCCTGATGACGTGTGCCGCAGTCAGAAGGAGTCGCGGTATGAGCACTGGCTCGCTCTTTTCAGCCGTGACACATTCAAGTTCGGCCACTGCCGAACTTCCTGTCCGCATGCTGTTCAAGATCCAGCCACATGAGGTGGTTCCCACCAATGGTAGCAAGTCTTGGGGTGCATTAACCATCGCGTCGCTAGGCGCGTTCTATCTGCGCTCCCGCAAGGATAAGGAGCAAAGCAAATGCACACGCACTCGGCATTGAAGACTTGGCAAATGATGATGCATCCAGCCTCAAGTCCCAGAACAAGACATCGGCTACAAAACAATAATGAAACTTGTAAACATCCCCATTGCACGTGCCGATCACCAAGGTGAGGCTGACTGACACAGCATTCTGTTCATGCAGGTGTATGATCAAAAGGCAAGGAACCGCACGCTTTAGCTGTATCCACTTCTGTGCTCACGCTAATCTGAGTCCCGGGCGCAGCGCAGCCGGTAGCACGTCGAGCAAGGCACAGGTCGTCCTCGAGCGCTCAAATGGCACTTCCGCATGCGGGCAAGTTGCAGCTGGTCAAACTGGAGCTGTTTAAAGAGAGTTGGTCCCTGTTGTGAACGATCATGCAGCCATGTCCTTTTGTTTCCAAGCATCTGCAATGTTTCCAACGCATCTTAGCATCTCCTTTTCACTCGAGTTGATTCAGTAGTACCACTCGTGTGGCCAATCCCCAGGCCTCAGGAGTCCACCATCCCAAGGCCTAAGCCGCTTGCCCTGAGGTTACGCGTTGCATCTCGCATGACCCTAGCAGCCTAGCCTATCATCTCCCCCCAACCCAGCCAAACCACTCCATGCGTGTCTGGCCCTTCACCTTCAGACTCACGTCACCATTTTTCCTGGATGGGCCGCCGTCATGCCCGTCTCGCAACACCTTTACCCCTTCTCAGGGTGGCCCTGGCACTTGGCAACGCGCAGGGAACTCAGCCCTGGGCCTTCTCCGTATTCGCCTTGAGGAAGCAAGCCTCCGCCTGGAGTGCATGGACCCGGATGCCCTCCTCAAAGGCCAGCCGTCTAGAAGCGGCTAAGGATAGCTAAGGGGTCTAAGCAACTGGCCCTGCCTGTGACGCGTTGTACGTGAAGTACTGGGTTTGGCTCAGGTACACCTGCTGGACAATGGGGCACTCCTGCAGGCCAAGCGTCAGGCTGACGGATTCAGCAGTCCCAAATATTCCGATCCGAGATAGCAACTCGCGCCATGGAGCAATACACAAGGCTAATATCCGCTTGCAGCCCATGAAAGAACACAGAAAGAACTGGTCGCCGCCTGCTCGGGAGCGCAGAACATGCCTGGGAAGCGACAGCCGCAAACTGTCTTGGCACTCTGAAGCCACTTTTGGCTCAAACCCACAAATACCACAGCCGTGTTAATACGACGTGTCTACGTGCGAGTTCCCCGTCTTGTTCTTGATTGGCACTGCTACATGTTGGTTGCTTCTAAGCTTGTGTTGTGGGCATCTAATTTGGACATATATCGGGAGTCGTCAGCCGAATGTGTTTTAGAGGAGATGGCCATCATCTCCCATCATAGAAACGCTGTCGATCTTTCAATGATTTCAAGCAAGCATATTACAGCTGTCCGCATTGTGCTGCGCACAAACCCAATTAAAGGCGAACTAGTAGGCCATGGAATCTCGTGGCCTGTGTTTGGTTCATATCATGGGCCCCGTTTGACCATCCTCCAAACAGAAAGCACAGAAGCCAACAGGGTCTAAACAATGACTTGTTCTGTTGCTAAACATCCAATGCCATCGGCTAAAGCTAAAGCTGTGTCGGCTGGACCATTTTGGACCATATCACAAAGAAACAATCCTGGACATGAATGAATCTGCAAAGCCATGCGTCCAGACCACCAGGGTATGTGTCAAAACAGGGGGACTCAACAATGGTAATGTTCCTCTTGGTTTCCCTTAAAACCAGGGTAACCTGAAAGGGGAACATTTAGAAACCACACACACACAGAGATCAATCTCCAGAATTATGCCCAGCTGCCAATGTTCTTCCCAGTCGGAGCTCCACCTACCGCTGATTCTCTGGCGCCAGACAGATGTGGGGAATGTGAATTGAAGGGAAACAACCAGAACATCAACATGATGAGAGTTTGGGTAACTAGACATCAAGGCCCCCTCACAGATTCAGAGTGATATCAAGCTCAAAACAGGGGGCCGGAGATAACAACAGCTCTGCTCTTGCGCAGCCTTGTGACACTTGGGGTACGCTCAAAAAGCTCGGAGGTCTCCTAAGGTCCCA